AAGAAAGAAAGAAAGAAAGAAAGAAAGAAAGAAAGAAAGAAAGAAAGAAAGAAAGAAAGAAAGAAAGAAAGAAAGAGAAAGAAAGAAAGAAAGAAAGAAAGAAAGAAAGAAAGAAAGAACACTCATAATGAAAGAGTTTCTCAGCATATCAAAAGAAAACATAGATTTTTTTAAAGGGGGAGCATAGGAAAATGATGGAAATATTGAATGAGCAATATAGAAAAGAATTAGAATGCATAAAACAGATTGAAAGAGATAACCAGGAAATTAAAATTTCCACTGAAAGTTGGCAAAGCCACTTAAACAAACTGAAGATAAACTTTCAGACCTGTGCAGCTAGCGATCACAAAAGAAAAGATCTCTTAAGCATAAGGAACCAGGAGATAATTCAACAGCTGCAAGATGATGCAAAGAAAAACAACATAAGCTTGATAGGCATCAGTCAAAAAACTGGAGTCAACATAAATGACATAAAAAGGCTATTTGCAGAAATAACAGTAGAAAATTTCCCAAGCATGAGAAAAAATATGACATACAGTAAGTGAGGCATACAGATCTGCAATTAGCCATAACCAAGACAAATCTACACCTAGACATATAATAATCAAGATCCCAGAAGTTCGGTATAAAAATAGACTAATAAAAGCTGATAGAGAAAGAAACAGATTACCCATAAAGGAAAGCCCACCAGAATTATGGCAAACTTCTCAATGCAGGTCGTCCAGTCAAGAAGAGCTTGGAGTGTAGTATTTCAAGTCGTGAAATAAAACCACTTCCAACTCTGATTGATGTATCCTACAAAACTATCTTTCAAAATTAATGGAAAAATAGGATATTCTCATGACAAAAAAACAAGTAAAGAAATTCAAGACCACCAAACCAATCCTACAAAGAATACTGAGAGATATTCTAGAAAGAGACAAAAATGACGACAATCCAAAGAATAACGACAGAATGAAATTACCAAGCGGGGCAAGCAATTAGACAGAAGGAAAAGGTAGGGAATCAACAGCAGAAAAATAACATGATAAAGATAAGCCAATAAATAACAGTTACATCTATTACTGTAAATGGCCTCAATTCACCAGTCAAAAGAAACAGACTGGCAGAGTGGATAAGGAAAAAAAATCCAACAATATGCTGTATACAAGAAATATATTTAACTCAAAAGGAAATTTTTAGACTAAAAGTCAAAGGATGGAAAACAAGACTCCATATGACAGGAACCCAGAAAAAAACAGGGGTAGCTATTCTGTTTGCAGACAATGTGAACTTCAAACCAAGAATAAAGACCAACAATTAAGACTCAGGACATATGAGAACCTGTACTGTAACGTCATGTACCTCGGTAGTGTCCCAAATTTTCTGATCAAGAAGATTTATGGGGCCAAAGGGGAAAGAGATCAGTGACGTAGAGTGTGCCTAAGGAGAGTCACATGGGGAGAAGACACTCTCTCAAGCTTTCACAGAGAGCACATTGGCCAAGCAATGGCCGTGACTCATCCACATGGCTGCACTGACAAAGGTTCTACAATCTGAGGTACAGGATCTCAGGATAAATCCTGAGGGCATTTCACTGACCTTCTCAGACCAAAAAGCTACAACTCTTGTTGCACAGGTCCTGCTTTACCTTGGTCTTAACCATCCAGTAGAAAAGTATGAAGATGAAATATAGGAAATAAAGCCATGTTGTTATGTTGAGCTGTGGGGGACTCAGGTCAATAATTTCTGACATTGCCAGTTAAACAGAAGACCCAATGCTATTATGGGCTACTGGACTCTTTTAGAATATTTTGCTGAGTTTACACACCTATAATATTCAATAACGGAACTTAGAAAAAATGGGGTATGCTGATGAATGTCCATTTTGTATCTGTGTATTCAAAGTGGTTGTATTCAAAGTGGATAGATATATAGTTGCATTCTCTTAATGAATAGAATGATTTGTTCTAATGGTGTTTGTAAGTAGGATCACAAGTCTGCATCTTGTACAGCAATTAACCACTAAGAAGAATATATGCAGTGTATTATTTGTTGAAACTGTACTTCCAATTTGATTTGAAACTGTCTCATTGCTATCTGTTTATCAATAAAACTTTGAAAAAAAATAAAAAAAAAATAAAATTAAAAAAAAAAAGAATAAAGACCAAAAGAGATAAACAAGGTCACTATATACTTGTTAGGAGAAAACTTCAAGCAGAACAGAGAGCAATCATAAATATATGTGTACCAAGTGCAAGAACACCCAACCATATAAGACAAATATTAATAGACATGAAAAATAAAATATGCAATAACACAATTATGATGAGAGACCTTAAGACCTCATTGTCACAAAAAGAGAGATTAACTAGGCAAAACATCAGCAATAATAATAATAATAATAATAATAATAATAATAACAGAACTGAACCACACTTGTAAAAAAATAGACTTAGCAGACTTTTACAGAGTGTTTCATCCAACATCAGAATATACATTCTTCTTAGCAGCACATGGGACATTCTTTTTTTTTCAGAACTGGGGATTGAACTCAGGCCCTTGTGTTTGCCAGGGAAGCACTTATTCCCCTGAGCCATCTCCCCAGCCCCACATGGGACATTCTCTTAAAAAAAAAAAATCCCAGTATTTTCAAGGCTGACACAGGAGGACTGCTGTGAGGTCAGACCAGTCTACATAGTGAGTTCAAGGCCAATCTAAATGACAGAACAATAATCTGTTTCAAAAAACAGAACAAGAATGCTCACAGACCTAAACCTAAAAAGCAGAACTATAGGTTTCTAGAACACACACACACACACACACACACACACACACACACACGAATAAGAATATCTACAACCTTGAAATAAGTAGCAACTTTTCTTTTCAGGTCTAGCAATGGAATCCACGGTGAAGTGCAAACTAGGCAAGCACTCTACTGCTGAGCCACACTCCTAGCCATATGTACACACATCTCTGTTTTCAATTTTGGTATAGTTCGGTACTAATTTGCCTATGCTGACCTTAAACTCACACTCCTCCTGACTCGATTTCCCAGGTAGCTGGAATTACAGGTATGTACCACCATACCCAGCTCAAGCAATTACTTTCTTAGGACACAAAGCACTCCACCAAAAGTTACAAACTGAATTTCATCACAAGTGAAATACTATATTCTAGGTAAGCCAGACACTGGGGTAAAAAATAAGCAATGTGTGTATCTCACAATGGATTAGACATTGAACATCTAGGAAAAAAAAAAACTCTTATAAATCACCAATGAAAGTGCTAAAGAAATAGCTCAGAGATAACTTAGGCAAGCACAGGGACCGGGGTTCAATTCCCAGCACCACAGTCCACATCAGAACCATGCCCAGACACACTGAGCCAGCCACTGAGACCCAGAATAGTGGCACACGCCTATAATCCCAGGGCTGGGGAGACTGAAAACAGGAGGATCACTATGAGTCCGAGCTGCATAGTGAGACCCTGTACCAAATACATTTTTAAAAAATCACCAGTGAAAAAGGATATTAAATTAAGTGTTTGAAGTAGGCCATATTGAAGCAGACATTTCACAAAGAAAATAAATGAATAACTAATAGCACGTGATAAAGTGCCCAACATTGTCAGGAAGTAGAGGGACACAATTGAAAACCACAATGAGAGGGCCGCCCAAACAGTTCAGCAGATTAAAGCACCTGCAAGCAGGCACAGGGGTCAGGGGTTTGATCTCCAGGCCTGTCATGCCGGCCTTGCCCCTGGGGCATGCTGAGATGGCAATTGAGACTGGGCATGGTAGCACATGCCTCTCATCCCAGCTCTTGGGAGGCTATAAACAGGCAGATCACTACAAATCCTATTTAGTAGTGAGTACCAAGTGCAAGAACACCCAACACCCTGAACACCCTGTAGACCCTTCCCTAAAATACAAAAAAAAAAAAAAAAGGAAAGAAGAGAAAGAAAGAAAGAGAAAGAAAGAAAGAAAGAAAGAAAGAAAGAAAGAAAGAAAGAAAGAAAGAAAGAAAGAAAGAACACCACAATGAAAAAGGTAGTAGTGTGGGGGGGGGGGAATATACTTAATGTCACCACACTATACACTTGAAAATCATTAAAATGGTAAATTCATGCTAGGTAAATTTTACCACATTAAAAAGATACAGAAAATAGATACATCAATTAGTTAATAATTAGCTCAGTTAAGAAGACCATAATCTTTGGAAAAGGTTTGGCCATTTGTACATTCATACCCACCTCCAAGCTACCTTACTTCTTAATGAAAAATAAGTTAATAACATCACTATGTCCAATATCTCTACAGATTTATTTCATAAACATATATTAGTATGAATAAAATGGAGTATCAACAGCTAAGGTATTGAGATGAGGTGTTAATGTGCATTTTTGAAAGTTTTAAAATATACCTACACCCCCCCCAAAAAAAAAACCCTATTTTGCAGCCACTAGAATGGCTAAAATAAAAAAAAAATTGATGTATAAGAAGTGTAGGGAGGTGTTGTTTGAAAGGAGAGAAGGTTAACACTCCCCTTGACAAGTGTGGAAGAGGCCCTTGGGCCTGACAACATGCATATGGTTAAGGCATTGCCTCCTACTTCATGGAATCGAACAAGTTTTGTTTTTGTTTTTGTTTTTCCCATTCTATAGGGATTTAAAGTTTAGCACATCAATGATTGTTGGAAAATACCTGTTTCATGTTATGTCTAAGGCATTTGATATTCAGACAGATAGTGATGTTAAGCTCAGCTGCCTATGTTATAAGGTAATAATATCATCAAGCTTCTCCTATGGAGGGTTAACAACTTAAGTTTGCAGACCAAAAAATTAGAGACAAAGAAGGGCTACAAGGATAGCCAACATTTTGGCCCTAGACTTTCAAGGTCAGTAAAGACTCAGGACATAAGAGAACCTGTATTGTAACATACTGTAATTCAGTGGTGTCTCAAATTTTCTGTTCAAGGAGATTATGGGGCCACAGAGGAAAGTGATCAGCCATGTAAAGTGTGCCTCAGGAGAGTTCTCTCAGGCTTTCACAGAGAGCAAATTGGTCAAGCAATGGCCATGATTCATTCAGATGGCTGACACGGACAAAAGATCTACAAACTGCTGTCCATGGTTTCAGGGTAAATCCTGAGGGGATTTGACTGACCTTGTCAGATACAAAAGTTACATTTCTTGTTATATAGGTCTTGCTTTATCTTGGTCTTAACCATCCAGCAGAAAAGTATAAACACAAGGTATAAAAAGTAAAGCCAGAGCTATTTATAGCTCGGTGGAATAAATGCTTAAATGGCAAGCACAAGATCCTGAGTTTGATCCCTGGTACCACCAAAAAAAAAAAAAAAAAAAAAAGTAAAGCCATATTAATATGCTGAGCTGTAAAAGGCTCAAGCCAACAACTTCTGACATTGCCAGTTCCACAGATAACCCACTACTATTATGGTCTACTGGACTATATTGGAATATTTTCCTGAATTCACGAACCTACAGTATTTGAATGGCAATGGACCACTCATCTCTGACAAAACTAAACAAAAAAGGGGGATATAAATGAAAGACCATTTTGTAGTGAAAAAAATATATATATATGTATATACAAAATAGGATAGATATACAGCTACATTCTCTTAGTTCAATGAGAAGAAAGATTTGTACTAATAGTGCTTAGACAAGATATCATGTCTTTATATTTTACTCTGGATAACTACTACAAAGACAATATGCAATGTATTAATTTTTGTAACAGTCCTCCTAACCTGTTTTGGAACTGCTTCATTGCTATTTCTTTCTCAATAAAATTAATTTTTTTAAAAAAATTTAAGAAGTGTAAGGAAAGTGCAAGGAAACTGACTGGAACCCTCACACAGTACATTGCCAGTGAGAGTACAAATGGTGTGATTGCGTTAAAGCACCGCCGGCGCCTCATGAGGTGAGATGTACACCTACACTGACTCAGCCCACTCCCAGTGATTCATTCAAGAAAAGTGAGATTAGGCATCATATGTCCGCAAAAAGATTTGTGTAGAATAGTCCTGGTAGCCTTCTTCCCCCTGTCCTGGAGATTTTGACACCGGACCTTTGCACTGAGTTACAGCTCCAATCCTTTATATTATTTTATTTTGAGACAGGGCCATGCTGGGTCTCTAAATTGTCCAGGCTGGGCTTGAAATTGTGATCCTCCTACTTCAACTTCCCAGAGTTCTTTAATTACAGATGTGTCCTGCCCCATCTAGTTTCATTGTAATGTTTTTTTGTAACTAAAATCTAGTTATTAATAACTAGAATTTAGAAGCAGCAGTGAAGTTGATCAAAAGGATAATGGATTAGCAAAGGCTGATACAGAAATACAACGACTACTACTCAACAACGAAAAAAGAAAAGAAATGCTGATACGAGCAATGAAAAGCATGAACCCAAAAAGAAAGCAGACCCCCAAAATACAAATTGATCTATGGTTTTGGACATCAGAAAGTGATTATGAAGAGGGGTAGGATGGTAGGATCTGATCAGTAGGGAGCACAAGAGAAGTTTTTTGGGAGGAGTAAAAATGTTTAATGGCTTCTTTTGGTTGATAGACAAGTATATAAAACCATCAAGACTCATCAAGCTGGGCCGGTGAGATAGCTCAGCAGATAAGCTCCTGTTTAGGCAAGCACAGGGACAGGGGTTCAATTCCCAGCACCATATGCCGTGCCAGCTTATCCCCTGAACGTGCTGAGCTGGCCACAGAGACCAGACCTGTAATCCCAGTGCTGGGGAGGTTGGAAACAGAAGGATCACTATGAGTTCAAGCTGCATAGTGAGACCCTATAACACAAACATTAAAAAAAAAAAGACCCATCAAGCTGAATACTTAAAATCTGTATGCTATAATGTTTAAATAATGCATAAATTGTTAAATGTTTCTAAAATAAAAGTTTTATTAATTTTAAATTCTCCAAATGCAATTTTGGGAAAGTTACTCTGAACCTTAGTTCTACCAGAGAAACTGTATAGTGATTTTCTTGCCCCATAGGCTTGCTATGAAGGACAAGGGAGATCATCCATACAGTCTGCCTCACAAGAAAACAACACACAACGAATATCTGTGCCTATTTTTCAAAAATTCAGACTCTAGGGCTGGGGAGATAGCTGGTCAGTCTAGGCGCCTGCCTACCAAGCTCAAGGACCCGAGCTCCATCTCCAGCACCGCATACCGTGCTGCCACTGAAACGAGGTGTGGTGGCACACGCCTGTAATCCCAGCACTGGGAGGCTCAGGCAAGAGGATCACTGTGAGTCAGAACTGTGTAGCTAGGCTCTATATCAAATAAATGAATAATTTTAAGATTCAGACTCTTATTCCCACCTCAGGCATAGAATTAAAATTAAAATTTCAAAGACAGATAATCTGAACAAGCCCCCCAGTTAGAGTGACCACATACCCATACCAACCAGGACAGTCCTGGTGTGGGCACATTGACCCAGCTAACTTAAAGTGCCCCTTCCATCCTCACGAAAGCATGTGTATATATTCTGCCATGGAGTTTAACCTACTGGACTATAGAGTAAACTATACAGTCATTCCAGCCTCATGGAGTCCTATGTCCCCACAAGTCTGAGAGCCACTGGCCTAGGCCACAGTCTCCAAGGTCACAGCCCACGGGGATGCTGATGCCTCTGTGCCTCACGTTTCTCCTGCATCTCTGAGCCTTCATAGCCCCCAGGCTTCCATTCCTCTTCCTCTAGTCTCACACTGGCACCTGTTTATATCTGACTTTTCTACTGTTTCCCCAGGTACACTCAGGACCACTTGAGGGCCACACCTAAAGTTCACTCATCTCTACAAACCCCAGCACCCCGTGGGGCTCCTCACAGTGGCAAGTGTTTCAAAAATGCCTAAGGCTATGGTCTTCAATGGACCAGCCTCCCAGATTGACCAAAGCCATTGGTTCTTTGGGCTTCCACGTCTTTGTCTGTAATTGGAGGAGCTCTTACCTCATTAGTACGAAATCTTGTTCTAGGGAGTGGGAGATAGCTCAGTGGAATAAGTGCTTGCCTGGCAAGCACAAGGTCCTGAGTTCAATCCCTGGTATCATGCGCGCACACACACACACACATACACATCCTGTTCTATGGATTCTTAAAACCAATGATAGTATCTGAAAGAGGGTACCCATAAATCATTTCTCTAAGCCCATCATATGATCGTAATAGATTTGTGGAGTTCTCTTGCTTCTGGAAGGCAGTGTCAGTATCACCCAGAAGTAGTTAATGTAAAGCACAAGTAACAGTAAAATAGACAACAGCTGCAATGCTGGCTGAGCCCTTGCACAAGCGCTTGCGCCTGTAACCTCCTTATATCACTCCCATGATGCATCTTCATTCACCATATTTTCTGCTACACAGAATTAAATAGGTTGAGGCTGAGGGTGTAGCTCAATGGTAGAGCACTTGTCTAGCAGGCACAGGGAGCTGGATTCAATCCCCAACTCCACAAAATTAAACTCTACTTCAAGTCTTTTAGCACTACTCATGAGTCCTGTTGAAACCTTTATTTTGCTTTTTCTTCTTTTCCAAATCACATCCCATGCTTTCCTTCCTTAGAAGCATCCACTCTGGAATATTTATTTTACATAAATCTTGAATTGATCAAAATTTCATTCGGTTGCTTTGGCAACTGAGCACAAAAGTTCTTAGATCCTCCTGGGAAGTCGAAGGTCATTCCCCCAATTGATATGGAGTTTTCCAGCATTTCCATATCCTGAATCTCTTCAAGATTAAGAAAAAGATATTTGCCTAGTAACACTTGTTTCTTCTTCTTCTTCTTCTTCTTCTTCTTCTTCTTCTTCTTCTTCTTCTTCTTCTTCTTCTTCTTCTTCTTCTTCTTCTTGTGGTACCAGGGGTCAAACTCAGGACTTTGCACTTGCCAGGCAAGCCTTTATTCCACTGAGCTGTCTCCCCAGCCCTAATACTTGTTTCTGACCTGTGGCCATCACAGGCCAATCTGTAGTGTTCCTCAGACTCACTCCCTCGGTGGCTGTGAACATGAGCACCCCAGGGAATTTCCCTAGGAGCAGCCCTAGCCTACCATAGAAGAAGAAAAGGAGGTTATGTGTCTGCATAGATTATAGCGCATGGATCTCCAGATTCCAGAACCCACATGCATCTCCCCCACGGAGGCTTCTGGGCCACAAGGGTGGAAATGGATGAACAAAATTTTTTAAAAACTAAGGAGAATCCAAGAATATAAACGTTATATACTGCAAACATGTACTGCTTTTTAAAAGATGTATAAAATCATGTCCATTTTAAGATGTCTCTGGGAACTTAAGTGGCATAAAAGCAGAATCAAAATTCTATCCAAAAGAAAAACAAAATCCAGAGATGTGATATTTTTATACAATAAAGTATTACTGAACTATAAAAAAAGATAAGCTCAAGGCTTTTATAGGAAAATGAATGCAACTAGAGAACATATTCATAAGTGAAATGAATCAGATCTGCATGTATAAACATTGTATGGTCTCCCTAGTGTAAGAACTTGAAAGAGTAAATAAATTAGAAAGATACAATAGATACTACAAAAGAAACTATTCAAAGGGAAAGAACAACTGGGTAAGGGAAAAGAGAAAAGAAAGAA